ATCATCATCATCATCATCATCATCATCATCATCATCATCATCATCATATCATCGTACATCCCCTGTGCTACAAGACGGTTCGTGGTCTTGACAGGTTGCTAAAATGCTTCACAATGGCATGGCGTGCGCCATGGCGCGTCCTCATTCCACATGCATCTGGAGATTCCGAACAACACGCTTGCAAGGAACCACCTGGGCGACTATTCGGGGACCGGTGGAGCGGGTGCCGCCTGGAACAGAAGACTCCTGCTTCTGAGAAGCAAAGGAGGGGACCATAGGGGACCTAGTAATTTACTGTATCTGTATAGGCTTTCTACAGATTGATATATTGATATATATATATATATTGTGTTTTTGTTGAAGGTCACCGCTTGCCTACCACATTGGGACTGTACAGAATTGTTAACAACAGTTCTTTACCTCTGGATGCAGGCAAAGACTTGATTTATAGAATATTGTAGAATCATTCAAGGCAAGCAACATTGTATCTATACTCTATACCAGGAGTCGCAAAGGGGTGGTGTTTAGTTTCCAAGTGAGTGGATAATGGGCACTAAGCACCCCTTTGGAACTGGTATACGGTATACGATATTACAAGAACTCATACGAGAGTATTTTGCCTAGAAAGTTTACAGAATTTGTCCCCTCTCTCCCTCTCAAGGCAGGGATTGTTTGTAAAGGAACACCAAACGGCCATGGCGAGCGAAGTTCACCATCTGACCCCCTTGAGAATTCTGAACTTCTGACATTACAATTTCTTGCAAGCAAAACAGATGAAACATCCCGAACACCCTTCAACCGCTTCAACTCTGGTCTTGTTCACCAAAAAAGAACAGCAACAATCACAACGAACACTCCACACGCCACGCCATCACACAAACTGACGTTATGACACAGCCTTATTTGGTGTCGTCCCGGCGCAAATCGTTCGTCCAAGTGGCGCCAATGGATTGAACGAGGCTCCACTTCGTGGAGTCGTAATTCCTCGTCCGGGTGCCGGTCGCGCGGGTCGGTCGAGCGGCACCGGTCGGGGTTGCGTTGGGTTTGGAGTCCCCAAATAAGCTGCTTTAAATGTCTTATCATCAACTGAACGCCCCCTATGCCTTTCTTACAATTTGCCTCAAAGATGTTACAGTAATCTAAATACAACACATCCTCTATAATTGAATGCCAATTGAATCCAATTCATTCTATTGACAGATCCCCATGTCGACTTAGTAAGAAACTTGAGTAAAGTCATCGATTGAAGAGATCTCTTCCTGCCCAAGCGGGTGTAGCTCTGTTCCACCCTGGTCTTCCACACTTACCCTAATATTCCTAATAGATGAAGGAAGGCAAGAGATGGCAAGAGGCAAGAGTATCTGTCACGAAACGTAGAAAAACAAAAAAGCAAGCTTCTGGCATGGATTCCATGTCAACGCGAACAGAAATCAATCGACGTGGATTGGCTTAACAAGAAACAACTGAGCAAAACTTGTGAACGTCGCCAATATGTCGTCATCCTGGACCAAACTCTAATTGCAACCCCCGAACACAAAAGACATGAAACGACCAACCGGGGGACCCAATGCTCCTCCAAATCTCAGTAAAACCACGAGAAGAATACAATCAAAGAAGTTCAGTTCCCCCCCAAAAAGGACAACAGAACAACATCAACACACCGAAGATCCCACCGACCGAGGACGAAGACAGCACCCAAATAAGCGAGCGATCGCGAGGACGTGGGGGGTGGCCGGTCCATAGTGATCGGCATCGTGCGCCATAAACGCCACCTGTTGCCACGCAATCCCGAGAACCTGGGCCACACGACCGACCGGTGCAAATTGGCGCGCGTCTGCCGACGCGGATTCGGCGTCGAAGGGAGAGGTTGAGGTTGAGCTGGCTCGGTGGGGGTGGCGGCGGCCAGGGGGGAAACCAGGTGTGTTTAGGGGGCGGCATGCTTCGTTTTCAAGCAAATGTGCTTGGTTTTCAAATCAGTAACCATGCATAGATTGTATGGATATAATATGAAGAGGAACCTCCTCTGCACTGTTGTGGAGAATTATCAGGGCCATTCAGGGCCAAAAGATTCTGCCAAGCTGGACCATGTGTGCGTGTGTGGCTGACCTGTACCTCTTCAATCAGCCACCAACCAAGCAAAAGATAGCAAAAGTCCCCTATAGACTGCAGAACCACAGAATCAACTGGCTGGGGTCTTCAAAGCAGTTGATTTTCTATAGTAGGTACGAGTAGCTCCAAATAGCACCGGGCAAGGGAAAGGTCGTCATCAGGCTGCTTTCCTTTGTGGTATAGGAATGTGAGCAATGTGTGGTAGAACTTGTTAATTTATCTTTGCTACAGTACTATAATAATATATGGCATTGATCTTCCTTTTGGAAGAACAATGAAGAAAAGGACCGCTTCCTGAAAGTAAGGAGACACAAAGCACCACACGATCCGTGTCTTCGTATGTGGTGCAAGCAAGGCACCGCTCCTGCCAACAGGGTGCGCAGGAGCTTCCAGGTTGGAGCTTCCAGAGTCACCAACCCGATGGCTAGAGCAAAAAGAAGAACGCAAACTATTGCTTTGTTCACCTCAGAGGCGATGTGCGATGCGAGAACACATGGCGAAGGATTGCAGGATGGCTTGCAAAGGATAGCAATTAGGAGCAAACATATGTTTGCTGTTTCTTTTTTTAAATATGTTCCTTTGTTTCCATGGACATTGCAGGGGGGTCTTGGGTTGCAGGCCCAATGTCCATCCGTGATTGAGCTAAACAACTGGCAATTCTACATACTCGGACCCACAAGGGCTGGTTAATGGATCCCTACTTGGATCCCTTTAGGCTACTAATAGACACCCCTTGGGGCCCCTGGTATATGTTCTTTCATTGTGCAGACATGGGCAGACCTCATCCAACAATCTCAACAAAGCTCAAAAAAGACTCAACGACAGCTGCTCCATCTGCATGGTGCCAGGCTCCGCGCCGAGCGCCCAGGCTCCGCGCGACTAAGGATGCGGCATAAAACGAGAGATCTGGAGCGAACCAACCCTCACGCCAAAGTCGCTTCCGCAATGCACCTGAGTTCGAACTCTTCTGGGTGCCCCTGCACACCACATCCGATGAGCAGATTGCAGATGTAAGCATGTTTCGTTGCCCGTTCTAGCCAGGCAGGACTGTCGAAGGTGTCCGAACTGCGTGTTTTTGTGTTTTGTTTTCTTGAACGGTTTCCCGATGTTTCCCACCCTGTTGGACAGATGTGGGGAGATGAGAAAACACCGACGGAACGAGGACAATTCACCGAATGTCCGGTCTGAAGACTGCCTGGATACACAGAGCAACAAACATCCAAACATATCCAAACCATTTGACGGAGTTTGCGGTGAAATGTTTTGGTCCCAAGAGCCTGTCAAGGGGTGTTCTATGTTGGATGGAGGTGTTTGGGTCCCAAAAAATATCTGAAGAGCACTGCAATTTTGGAACAAATCTGTCTTCTGCAGAGTTGCAGTCAGGTCTTTCCTCTTCATCCAAGGAACGATAATCTGCTGTGGCCTTGCTTGGCAAGTGCTTGTCGTCATCAATGACCTGTCGGAGTGCTACAGGTGAACGCCAATGGCCCACTAAACAATCAGCCCCATCAAACCCAACACAGAAGCTTAGCTTACCTGTAGGACCAAGAGATGGACACATATATGGACCAGCTCGGAGCTATCCATCTGCACCCCCCACAGACATGATCGGCTATGATCTACATGGACTAAAAATAAAACCCAGTATACTTAGAGGGTCAAAACCAGGACACCATGGTTGCCTGGAAGGTCAAGCTCGCCGCTCCAGGTGGACTAGTCTGGGCTCATCCGGTGGGTCACAACCCATCGCCTCCCCCCCTTCGCCCCGTGGTTTCTCAGGGTTGTTAATAGTCAAGAACCGCTATAAGTAGCACCCTGTCATGCACGCCACTAAACGAAGAGTACTTCACCTCCACGTGTTCATCTTTTGAGCCGGTCACTTGCCACCAACTTTTAAGGAAGAACTTGCCTTGAAGCAGTGGAACTCACCATCAGTCCCTGAAATCGAACAAACACCTTCCAACAGAACTGGTGCTTTCGCCGTTCTTTTCCACCTCAAAGCTGCTCGGGCTCTTGCCGTGCGCTATATATATATATATATGTATGTGCACCACACACACACATGGCATAGGTATCAAAAAATACTTATCGAATCAATAAAAAATTACCGAATCAAAAAAAATATTTACTGAATCAATAAAAAAATATTCGTTGTGCGATGAAATCCCTTGGAATTCCCAGTCGTGTAGGTGGCCGGTCCTCTGGTCCGCTGGTCCCCTGGTCCTCTGGTCCTCTGGTCCGCTAGTCCCTTGGTCCTCTGGTCCTTCGTGGATTCGATATGTGTTTTGCAAAGCAAACAAGGAAGCAAGCAAGCAAGGAAGCAAGCAAGCAAGCACGAGCTGCTCACCTTTGGATCTGGTGTGCTGCTGGGGGGGGGGCTGCGCCCCCCCCCCAACCCCCCCGCGCCAGGAAATCTGCACTTCATCCCCGGCACCCGCGCCTGCCACGAAATCAATATTTTAAGGTGAACTCCCCGGTGCAAAATTTTCTAACCAAGCAAATATGCCTCCTCTATCTCTCTATGTATCTATCGATCCATTTATTTTCCTATCTTTCTATCTGCAGTTCAACATCCACAAAGTACTACACCTACACTTCCACATCAAAAACTCCTGCGCCTGCCACGAAATCTGCACTCCAAGGCCCACAAAGTCCTGCACCTGCCACCAACTCTACACTTCCACATCCACATCAAAAACTCCACTGCTACTGCTATTTGGAATATTGTTTTTTTGAGTCAGTAAATACTTTTTATTGATGCGTGTAGAATATTTTGTTATTGATCCGTTAAATATTTTTGTTTTGATCTCTCACCCCACACACATGGGTGTGCGGTCTTTGGCCACCGTGTGTCGTTACACACAGACGTGCACCACAACACACATCGACGTCGACACACACTGCAGAGCTGCTGGAGAGGACACGTGTCCTTGCCGCGCCTGTCCGACGAGAAACTGTTGCAATCGTCCGTAGACGCGTGGCCGGTGGAAGGCCGCGAACTGATCGCTCGCATCCACACCTACGAACCTCAGGTGGTGGGCCGGCGGGCCGGCGGCTCGGACGAGCGATGGCGCAGGTGCCCCAACAAAAAGTAAATGGTTTAAATAAGCCCACGATACCAGGAAGGGTCCCCAGGAGTTGAGATGTCTATATTGGTAAAGCCCCTTTGGAGCCTTTGGCGCTTGAGTCCGCTTCGCCTCCCCGCGCGACCCGACCGCTAAGTGGGTGAAGGACCCGAGCGGACGTACTACGGGACGTCGCGGCGGCGTCCTCGTGGAGACGTTGATCTCACGTGATATCCCAAGACGCAGCAACCCCAGGGCCCCTGGACGCTGCAGAACCCAAAGACTTTCCTGGTCCCACACTTTCAGAAGTGATGGGAGAAACATATACTGTATGCCTTTCTCTGCCACCTGGCTTTGAATTCATAGTTCTTTTTGATGCTGGACATGTCCGAACAATCCATGTCGACGTCGGACCCCAATGGATCGGCCAAATCGTCCAGTTCCAGCTTTACCTCCACCGCCAAGGCGCTTGAAAATCACAGGACCACCTGCGACGGACGCCGCGACCGGACGGCGCTGCACACACCGGCGCTGGTCGAAGCAAAGCCACTGAGGTGAGTCAAGACATCTCAAGGTCTACAAAGCACTCTGCAGTTCATGAACTTGAGAGTCACGAACATGAGGGTACATGTGAGTTCATGCTCCGGACGTTCGGTCACCTCTCGGCCCAATGAAGGGGCCCCTTGTCTAGCCTTCACGTGGCTGCCATGGAGTGAGAAAAGGTCCGCATCGGTGGATCGAGGGTTGTTGCTGTTGAGTCGGCATATCCATTGGTTTGCACTACACAGAGCATTGAGGTACACCCTTTTGTTGCTGGTCGTGTTGCTTCATTGGTTGTACATGCTACCAGCGCACACCAACTGCACTGGTAGCGGAGCAGAGTTAGCTCCAGGGTCATGGCGGACGTCAAGGATCGGTTGAATGAGGTGCCTAGCTGGGACGGTTCCTCGAAGACTTGGCGCCGCTATTGCAAGGAAGTTGGATGGTATCTTTCTGGAACGAAGAGTTCCCAACGGAAGTACGTCGCTGCCAAACTGATCAGTCGGTTGTCGGGTGCCGCTCGCCTCCTTTCCATGTCCTGGCACCAAAGGGATTTTGAAGGTGAAGAAGGAGTTCAAGTCATGTTGAGGCGTTTTGCCTCATCCCCTTTGGTGAGGAGCAGTCTCCCGAACGCTGCTGCGACGATGTCATCCTATTTCATGTTCCAACGACGGCCTGGAGAAAGCATTGCACAATTCCTTGTGAGGGAAACATTGGGTTTTGAGGAATTCCAAGAGGCCTTGCTACAGCTCAAAGAGGAGAAAGACGGAATCTCCCCTGCTGATCGTTTGTTTGAGTTGCCTGAGATCACCACCTCCGAGACCTCAGACAAAGGTGAACGCTACTACAACCCTTGGCATCGAGATCAACGCTGGCGTGATTGGGAGGAAACCCCTTTTGAAGAGCAGGTTGAACAAACAGTTGATGCCCCTGAGGGTTATACAGCAGTTCCACAAACATCCGATGCAGGTGAGGAAGCAGCTCCTCACTCACCGGCGGGGTCGCCGAACCGGAATCGTCAAGCCCAAAGGAGCCCTTCTCGCAGGACAGAGCAATATAGGATGATTGATGGTTTGGGTCCTATGGATTCATTTATTTTAGATGTTTTGCGTGGTTGGAGACTACTTGTTGCAGCAAGCCTTACAAATGATGAATGGAGAGACATCCTAGCTAGCACTGGCAACAAGCTCGACTATCCGGCCATCGCTGAGGCTCTCCAAACCCTATGGGATGAGCAGCTCAACCATCATCATGGAGCATCCAAAGGTACAGTGTTGCAACAACATTGGGTTGAGACCGCAGATCCTTGGTACAATGCTGCGTGGCACGAGTCCTCGTGGGACACTGAGGATTGGCATGAGGCGGATTGGCAGTCCATGGACCAATTTGGTGCTTGGCCCCAAGCTGTCAACGACCCAGTGGATAACACTGCAACCACTGATGATGATCCTGAACTCCAAGAAGCCTTGGAGGCTGAGAAGGCCGCAGAGGCTTTGGCAGTTGAAGCTCGTCGAACCTGGTCGCAAGCTCAGCAGGCTACAACAGCCCTTCGACGTGACCGTGGTTTTGGGCAGTTTGCAGGAACCTCATCCTCCAAAGGTGGCAAGGGTTCCATCCGCTGTCACATCTGTTCAGGTCCTCATTTTGCTCGTGAATGCCCTGACCGTCAACATCCGCAGTACCGCAAAGGTGGTGGAAAGCAGTTGAGTCCAGCAGAGCTGGACGCCTACCTCTTCAAGGGCAAGGGGAAAGGCATGCGAAAAGGGAAAGATCAAATGATGTCTTCCTGGGATGAGTCTTACATGGCGCCTTGGGATGTGATGTACACCCATAAGGGCAAGAACAAGAGCGCTGGCAAGGGCGGAAAGCTTCGTTCCACTGTCAATGTCTACGGCATGGACTATGGTGGGATGGATTTTAGCATGATGGAGCTCCACACGCTTGAGTTCCATGAGACGATGGAAGCAGTTCCTTTGGAGCTCTACACCTCCAATGAGACTCCAGCTCCTCGAGCCATCCCGGAAGGATTTGGCATGTTGGATTGCGGGGCCACGGCCTCGGCTGGACCTGAAGCTTCTGTCAAAAAGCTGATCGCCAAGCTGCGTGAAAGTGATCCACAGTTGAAGGTCACCATCGATGTGGAGCGAAGACCCTTTTTCAGGTATGGTTCAGGTCGTTGGGGACAAGCCATGTACTTTGCCTCCATCAGCGCATCCATGAACCACAACAAGTCCTTTGAGGTGTTTGCCCTGCCGAATCCCACGGAGTATTACCAGAAGTCCTTCAAAGACTACATGCTGGTCCCAATTCTGGTCGGTATGGATTTCCTCACCAAGGTCGGCCTCATCCTGGATTTCCAAGATGGTCATGCAGTGTTTGGTATGGACCCTTCAGCTGAACCCTTCATCATGTCCAAGAACACCAAGGGTCACTTCATGGTCGACATCGGTCAGTACCTGTTCGGTCAACCTTCCATCGGCTCTCAGGCTCCAGAGACCTTCACCGCTGGCATGCAGCTGCAGGTTGGAGGACCCAGTGGTGAGTGGTTTGAACTTGCTGTCAACGAGAGTGCTTCTTGTCATGATTCAGCAGCTGATGTCCATGTCACCAAGCAGAGCACTTCCATGAGCACTGGTTTTGAGCTTTTGTTTCAACGCCGGAAGCTTTTGAATGAGCAGTTGCATTCCGCAGCTTTGGGCTGTCAAGTTGGCTCAACCTCATTGACGGCTCCCTCGACATCTGATGGCCAAATCCTCCAAGGGGTACAAGACCGCGACCCCATTGGACCCAGAACGTCGTCAGGGTCACGACGTGAAGGATCCTCGAGCTCAGCCATCATGCTGGCCGTGTCTTGGCAAGCACGTGCCCTCAGTGACTGGAAGCAACGCTCATGGCTCATGGGCCAAGTGCGCCGTGTGTGCTCTCCGCATGGAGTACATCCCACGTCAGGGATCTCCGGCAAGCTCAGTGGTTCACAAGGACCACACCTTTGTGGCCAAGGCTCTGACCATGATCCAAGAGGGCATTCCGAAGGGCACACTTCCGGGCTACGAGATGGTGGAGAAGACCTACGACTATGTGGAAGCGATGGACAAGATCCGGGCCATGAAGGCCAAGATCTCCACCATGGAAGCCGAAGCCCAGGGAATGCTGAACAGCCTCGAGATCCTCTACACCGGCTCCAAGAAGAAGACCACCAAGGCCACGGAGGCGGAGAAAATTCTGGCCCATTTGACGCCAGAGGAGTGGGACCACATCAGCAACCTGGCATCTCAACGCCAAGCCGGACAGAGCTCGGCATCGGAGATGGTTCCCTTCAGCCCCGGGTCCGACGTGGAAGTGGAGGAGATCACACCGGCAAAGGTCAAGAGTCCAGTGATCCATCTGGGCTAGATGAGACACTCGGCACCACCGTGCCGGAGCTCCAGATCGAACAGTTCGCGAACAAGGTTCAGTTCTCTGACGCTCCACCGAAGGTGCATCAATTCGCTGACACCACAGCTGAGACAGCTTCTGAGGTTCCCGATCAGGAGTACACTTGTGAGACTGTGGAGTTTGAGCTTTTGAAGATCGATGAGGGCAAGTCCAACAAGTCCTCTCGCCGTGGCAAGTCTCGTCGAGCTGCCAAGCCTGTTTTGAATTCAACTTCATCAAGAACCACCTCACTCCATGGTTCGCCTTCGTTTTCACCCGCACAGGAGATGGAAGAGCAGCTCTCTTCACCACCGTCCCGTTCATCTGGACTCTCCGTGCTTCCTTGGAGAATTTGCCAGGCCGTGATGGCCTTGAGTAGCATGCTCCTTTTGGTGGCCCAGAATGACCTGAGCACTTTGCTTCGTGGCCACCAGCAAGTCGATGTCTGGGAGATCTTTTGCGCTCCCGATTCTTGGTTGAGCTCGGCTTGTCACTCTGAAGGACTGACTGCCTCCCGCATCAATCTCCACCAGAACTTCGACATGTACCGTGCCGACACCTATGATGAGCTTTGGGACAAGTTCAAAAGAGAACGGCCTCGTCGCATCTGGGTCTCTTCCAGGTGCACCTACTGGTGTCCATTCACCAGCCTGAACTACCAGACCGTCGAAGAGAAGAAGATCCTTGAGAAGTACCGACGGAAGGAACGAGCCATGTTCCGTCGGCTGATTCCCTTCCTGTCTTCAGCCGTGCAGCACAACCCCAACCTCGAGATCTTCTGGGAATGGCCCACTCGATGCTATGGTTGGAATGAGCCTATGATTCAGCAGTTGGGTCATGAGATGATCAAGGCCAACAAGGAGTGGCTCTTTGCTCGCATTGATGGTTGCCGCTATGGCCTACTCTCCAAGCAGGGCCTTCCCTTGAGAAAGCAGTGGACCATCGCTACGACTTCGAGACACTTCTTCACTGTGTATCGAGCCAAGACTTGCACTGGATCCCACGACCACGACTACATCCAAGGAGTTGAGACCGACCGGTCCGCCTACTACCCTTGGAAGATGTGCAAGTCAATTGCTCAGCACTGGCGAGCCGAACTCTATCCAGCTCGCTGGCTTGATCGTCTTCAATCTCCCGTTGCGGCACACATGACAGGAGAAGAGCAGATCCAGTCACTTCAGCTCGAAGCAATGCCTCAAGAGCTGGAGGATGATGATGAGCCCAATGCAGAACTTCGCAAACAGTGGGACATCCAGCTGCTCAAGTACCACAAGGCAGCCGGACATCCCAACAACTACAACCTGGCCCGCATCATTCGGGAAGCTGGTCAACCCCGCTGGAAGGTTGAGGCAGCCTTGAAGCTGTCATGTGATGATTGCAAAGCCTTGAAGATGGGCGGCACTTCCAGTTGCAAGATTCCGCCGGCATCCCTGCGGCCGCTTCCAAAGGCTTGGGAAATGGTGGGGATGGACACTACTGAATGGACTCCACCAAACAGCAAGGTGAAGTACAAGCTTTTGGTTCTGATGGACTTTGCCACCCACTTCAAAGCTGGCAAGATCCTACGCTCCATGGATCTCTACAAGCAGGAGAATGAGAACACCACTGAGATCCTAGAGGGCATCTTTGACCTCTGGCTTGCTTCCAAGCACAAGATGACCATTTTGGTCCCTGACAATGCGAAGTCGATGGTCAGTGCCCAAGCTCGAACCACCCTCTCCGACCTCAACATCCAGATTGAAGTACCTCCAGCAAAAGAAAGCTGGAGCCATGGCCTGATGGAAAGAGCCGTCCAAGAGGTCAAGACCGTTGCCTCCAAGACTGCGCTCTCCTTTCCGGCGCTCTCGGCAAAGACCATTTTGGCTCTCTCCATCAACTCCCTCAACGCCACAGAGGTCGTGCAGGGGTACACTCCTCATCAGTGGGTGTACGGGAAGCAGTTCAGCTTCTCAGAAGAGGATGAGAGATCCATGCAACAGATCTTACCTGATGTCTCAGGTACCGACTTCATCTCCCTGCTCTCCAACCGACAACAAGCAGAGGAGATTGCGAGAAAGGCGAGATCTCAGTTGGTTCTTGGAAAGCTTCGCAATTCCCGTGTGAGGCAACCTCTTCAAGTCTTCCAGCCTATGGACCTTGTCAAGATCTGGCGTCGCTATTCCACAGATGGTGGTGCCAGAGGGGGTCTTCGCAAGCTTGGCCATCCTCAATGGTTGGGTCCGGGCAGAGTTGTCTTCCACGAGGTCATCCACGGTCAACGACCAGAGGAGGAAAGACGACACATCGTCTGGGTCATTGTGGCCGGTGCCATGCATCGATGTTCAGTGCACTCGGTCAGAAAGGTCACGGAGCGTGAACGCCTTGACTACGAGATCTCCAATCCAGAAGATCCTTCTCACTGGCGCTCCTTGGCTGATATGGTGCCTCGTCGGTCGTACATTGACCTTCTTCCAGAAGAACCAACTGAAGAAGATGTTGAGTTGCCTCCATTGCCTGATGAGCCTGGTCCATCAACACTTCAGGATCAACGGCCTCCAGAGAAACGACATCGTATGAAGAGCCCATGGTCACCACTTCATGGACCACAACCTCCACCGGCCGTTCCATCTCTGGAGTACACTCCCTCAGAAGCACCTCTCAATGAGTATGAAGATCAGCCAACTCACGCTGAACCAGATGACACTGAGGAAGTGACCGGCACTGGCATTGGGAGTGGCATCCCAACTTTAGGTGAACGCTTCACCAACCTCTCGGACAACAAGCCCTTGATCTCCTTGTCCTCGGATAGCTCCAAGGCAAGTGCTTCAGCCGCTGAGCCTGACTCCAAGAAGGCTCGCCTGGACTCCGATGCCCTGATCTTCCACACCTTGGAGATGTGCGAAGAAGGTTGGATCTTGGACATTGAGCTGGACTTCAAGTCCCAGAGAGAGAAGGAGCGTTTCGTCAAGCACCCTTCACTGTTCTTGGCTCAGAAGCTCCGTGACTGTGAAGTCAGGTTGGAAAAGCTTTCGCCCGCACATCGTGAACTCTTTGCTCGCGCCAAGTCCAAGGAGGTCAACAGCTTCCTGACCAATGTGGCTGTTCGTCGTTGCCTCGACAGTCGCGAAGAGCATGAGGCTTGGGACTCTGGGCGCATCATGCGCTGCCGGTGGGTTCTCACATGGAAGCCCACTCCTGAGGAGAGCATGGCAGAAGCTCTTCAAGAAGTGGCATCAAAGCCTGATTCCACGACCCTGACATCCGATGGCAAGAAGAAAGCTAAGGCAAGAATTGTTTTGCTTGGCTTTGAGCATCCTGATCTACTTCATGAAAGCCATCGTACCTCTTCACCAGCGCAAGCAGTTCTCACTTGCAACTTGTCATATCAGCTGGTGATGGAGGAGGGTTGGGACATTGAAGGCATTGACATGAGCACCGCCTTTTTGCAAACACTCCCTACTGAAGAGTCCAAGCGTCTGTGGACAACGGGTGTCAAGGAGCTCAGGGACGCTCTCCAGATTCCTGAGCATGGTGTGATGCGCATTTTGAAGAACTTCTATGGAAGCACCACTGCACCCAGAAATCTATGGGAGAATGTTGACAAGAGCCTCCGTGACTTGGGAGCTGTGTCCATTCAGGGCGATGCTTGTTTTTGGATTTGGTTTGTGGACAATGAAGCCTACAATCCTGCCACGGATCCTGAGCACTTCAAGCTGCGTCCCCTCGGTTTCATGGCTGGTCATGTGGATGATTTTCACCGTGCTGGCGATGTCAAGGACAGCCGTTGGACACAGATCAAAACAGCCATTGACAAACAATATCGTTGGGGCACAGCAAAGCAGAACAGCTACCGCCATGCAGGTACAGATTTGTCCATGCAGAAGGACGCTAAGTTTGGGAGATGTCTTGTGGTGGATCAACAGTTTTACATTGAAATGTTGCAGGACGTTGATGTGCACCCCACTTGGTTCAGCAACGGATCATCCACCATGACTCCCAAAGAGATTGCCGCCTGTCGGACATCACTTGGTGCCGTGCAGTGGTTGGCGGTCCAGTCACAACCGCTTATCACTGCTCGCTGCAATTTGCTCATCACTGAGCTTTCGACGGATCCCAAGATCCAGATTGCTCAGGAGCTTCAAGAGATGATTCGCGAGCTGCGCAAGGAGGGTTCAACATTGAAGTTTTTCAAGTTGCCTGGCGTTCGCCGTTGGACGGATTTGTGTGTGGTTGGCCTGGGGGACCAGGCGCACAACAACAGACCCCGTGGAGGGTCGACGGGAGGCATGACAGTTTTCCTGTCAGGTCCTGATGCCCTCAAGGGCGTCCCCACACCAATGTGCTTGGTGGCTTGGCGCAGCTGGAAGTTGAAAAGGGTGGCGATCGGCACCAACGACGCCGAAATGCAGGCGATTGTTGAAACAGAAGATGTGGTCTATAGAACCAGGCTGCTATGGGCAGGCATGCACGGCACCGGCTCCATCTTCAAGGGCCGGGATTTGCTGAGCCTTGCGGACTCTCAGGTCCGTTTGGTCCCTGGTGTGCTTGGGACCGATTCGAAAGGAGGGTTCGATTCGGTCATGGTGAATGAGTCACCGCTGCTGGGATTGTCGAACATGCGCGCTGCCATACAGGCATACCAGTTGAAGCAAGCCATTCGATTCTGCCTCACCAAGTTGATTTGGCTTGCGAGCGATTGGAACTTAGGTGACGCGCTGACAAAGAAGAAGGGCGATTGCAGAGACAGCCTGACTTTCTTTTTGCGCCACCGCACTTGGCAGCTCAAGTTCGATCCGAACTTCATCGTTTCGGCCAAGAAGCAGCGACAAGCTTCGAGGACCACACCCTCGCAGGTGATCGGTAGGAGGATCATGAACTCAAAAGAAAATTTTGGAGATGCAGTTCATGAACTTGAGAGTCACGAACATGAGGGTACATGTGAGTTCATGCTCCGGACGTTCGGTCACCTCTCGGCCCAATGAAGGGGCCCCTTGTCTAGCCTTCACGTGGCTGCCATGGAGTGAGAAAAGGTCCGCATCGGTGGATCGAGGGTTGTTGCTGTTGAGTCGGCATATCCATTGGTTTGCACTACACAGAGCATTGAGGTACACCCTTTTGTTGCTGGTCGTGTTGCTTCATTGGTTGTACATGCTACCAGTGCACACCAACTGCACACTCCCATCAATTCTTCCCTGGAAACAAAAAAGAAGGAAACGGAATGGTCTGCATGGTTTTTGATAACATGCATGGCTGCATGGCTACTGACCACTCAGAAATGACACATCCACCTGTTTTGAAGGGATCTAAAGGGATTGAAAGGTGCATCTCTTGAACTGGCTTCAGATCGAGGTGGTTTCTACACCAAGCTTGACTAAAGTGGTTCCTGCACGAAGCAGCCGCTTCCGGGAAGAAGTTCGGGAAGCATCCCAGTTTAGGATCGGCTGAGGGGCCGATCCGGAAGGCCGTCGGCACTCACTTGCGCTCAGAGAGGGGTGGCAGTCCATGTCATTCCCTTCCATTTTACTAACTTGTTTGATAGTGGCACGAGTCAAATGCTTTTCCAATGGCCTGGCCAAATGGATGTCCAGCGGCTGTGCCAAACTCAATTCCAGCCAGAAGCTGTCAAGGCCACAGTTCAACACATTCAGATAATGATTCCGTTGAGCGGGTCCAACATTGAGCTAAACAATTCAGTACTGACAATACTCAGCATTACTCAGTACTCCCCCCTCTTTTCTACGTGTTTTTTGGTGGAAAAACGGATGAAGAACGACGAACCTCTGTTCGTTCGGTCTCCATGCGACGTGCTTTGCTTTCTCGCGTTCGCATCCGCTTTTGCATCGCCTGGATGCCGCGGGGCAAAGTCGGTGACATCATAGACTCGCCTCAGGCGTCGGTGAATCGAAGGGAGTCCTGAAAAAGCAGCGCAGCGAAAAAACAAAAGGCCTAAAGGACGGTCGAAAACAAAGCGCACCCCAAGGGGGATGACTCCCCTCCAAGTCGCGAATCTTCTGATCACGACTCACGCGCGTATTCAACCAAAACGGCTACAACGATGGCTTTCATGCCAAAGCAACCCATCGATGACCAACCAGGCATCCTCTGTAGAAGTATGCTTCTCCACCTGCACACGTCGTTCGCGTCCTTCGGCGATGTGCCGAAACTCGGGTCGTTCGGGCGTCGGGACGCCACGAGAAAGTACCGAGCAAGTGCTGATGTCAACTTGCGGCATCTGAAGATGCTCAAGGAGAAAGTGGCAAACACTTACCTACGGTGGTAACATGTGGTGACCATGGTTTACATTGTGAACGCCTGGCATGTAAGTATTCCCCAGTGAGGGTGTTAGATGTGTTAGTTACTTGTGATGCCTATTTATTTAAGGTCCAGGGCTGTGTTGAAACAACGGGATTTGGCTTTGTAGAATATATATTAGAATGTCCTCAAGAGTGTGAACTTTTAAAAACTGCATAACATGTGTTTTCTCTTTGTTGTTCCAAAGGACGTACTAGGCTGCGTGAGCCGTCCCGTGGTACCACCGATGGATGTGCCAAATGTTCCAAATACATGATGCTTTACTCTTGGGTTTGCATATGTTCATAGCGAGACCCCTCCCAACAAATAGAAGTTTGTCTGTGAAAAGTGAAGCTCAAGTTGTGGGCACCAACCAACGCAACCAATGGATGAACCAGGACAATCACATACAAATCATACATTAACTATATAATATACGTATAAAGACACCAGCATCACCCGAAAAAAAAAAAAAAAAACGCACCAGGTCACTACGACGCAGCTCATGCCCCGGGTCGATCGGCGCCTCCTCCCAGCTCCATTCCCTCTCCGGCGATCCGCCCTGCGGTCCGGTGGTCCGGAAGCGAAGGGTGGAGGGATGAGGTGAGGTGCATAGTCCAGAAGAACGGCGGCTCTCATATGATATGTGAGTGCACATGCGTGTCACACTGTGCAAATGCGTGTAATTACTTCAATAAGAAGTTGGAATACCTGCCCAATATTTGCCCAACCTCAAACCACTGCAAATGGGAAGAGTTGGAGAAGTGATGCTTCTCCGGAGAACCTCATATGATCCTCGTTCCTCTGAACATGATGCCCCCCGTTGTGGATCGAAGAAGTTCGGGTGTAGACCACGGCGCCCGACCACCTCGCCCGACCACCGCGTGTCCCGTCGAATACAGGGTCCGTAGTCGGACCGAAGATCGGAGCTCGTTCATAGGGTGGATTCGTGGAGGGCCCTGGAAACCAGAACAAAACACGGCTTGAAACACGAAACACCTGGAAACCCGAAACATGTTGTTCCAATTATACGGCTTGCTTGAATTTTTTCGAACTAGCGGGGACTGGGGAAGATCCATTTCTGGTTGTTTGGTTTTTCAGGGATTGACCTTCCTCAATTCCACCGGCTGGGATGCTCCAGCTTTCAGAGCTCGGAGATAAGAAAAGCCTGGAAGCACGAGTCTTAAAGCAAAAAGGATCCTTCCTCTCTTGATTAGTTGAAAACCCCAAATCCAGATCCAGCGTTTGCTTCTATAGGATCTTCTATAATTAAGATGATTTTCATTGCCATACATATTACCTGATTGAAGTTTCCCCTGTGGTTCTCATCCGAAAAAATCCTTACGATCCAACATGATCCAAGTGGCAGCTTTCGGCTTTGGAGTACTCGCCACCTCCGACGAGAGCAAGGCCTGGCCGGCCGACATGCACAGACAGGATCTTTAACCCACCCGGTTTATAAACAAAACAACACCAATGCCGGGACCGAACGGCGCCTACCGAACGGCGCCTAAAGCCGGTCAGCACCGGTCCCGAATTCGCGTCACACGCGTCGTACCGCGACGCGTCCCCAGCAGCTCGGAACGTGTCGTGTCGTGTCGTGCTGAAAGCGGCTCCCTGAAGGGATCGAGCTGTGAAGATGGTTCAGCCGCTGGTCATGTCAGTTTTAAGTTTGGAAAATAGAAAGGGAATGAAAAGGAGACACCGATGGAATGGCCATGATATCATGGATCACGGATTGTCATGGGATCTGGAAGCTGAAAGAGCACCGAGTTGAACCGTGCCGAGAGGGGTGGTGCTTAATTAATTTCTTCTATGCAAACTTGAGCTGGTTACGAGTATACTTAAGCTTGGAAAGCACGACACGTGGTGATTCCGCGCCTGAACAGCCTCAGAGCAAAGGACGGCTGCCACACCAGCGGTGATTCCGCACCTGATTTCATCATCGTGGTGCGTCAGTGAACACCCCAGGACGGCTCAAATCGCCAGGTCGTAGTTGGCAACACCCTGCCCAAATGGCTGTTTTCGCCGCAGGTCACGACAGACCTCTCTTCCAATTCTTGAGTCTACGTCGGACTGTCGGTAGAAATACCCGAACGCCATGGAAGCGATGATCTGTGTCTGGTTCTTCAGCTGGCAGATCTTTGGCCCAAACCAATGATTACTGGCCCTGTCAGATCTTCTGATGCGTTCAATACCAAGGGACCATGAAACCCATTGTCTCATTGGCGAAACCGAACAACGATGTTCCTGGCATTCGTACGAGATAGCCCGGATGCAAAACTTGGAATGTTGACGCTCTCCGTTGGGAACCTGAGTACAGGAGAGCTTGTCATAAAATCTAGGATGTCGGGAGAGCTTTTTGGGCTCTGGTCGCTTGAAGATGCTTGAAGCCCACAGTGACGTGTTCATTTCATGTTCCACGTTCCGAGGAACTCAGGTTCCCAAGTTGGGCAGCTAAAAGAGATGGTGCATGAATGAATCACCTAGCTGAGCTGTGAAGAATTCATTTTTTCCCACGTGAAGCTCCCCAAAGATCGACGGAGGGGTCAACCTGAGTCTACCCGATGCCCACCGCCTACCCGCAAACCTCGGGGCGTGTGCTCCAATGCCCCGAAAAAACCAAAGCAATGCGCGGCCGTGGGACACAGCTCCGGCAAAGGTCGAATCAAAGCAATGACCTGCAGTCAAGGATGATTGGCTTCGACTGGGATTCCAAGCCAGAAAGAAAAGAACAAACAAGGTGGTGGATTCCAATCCAATGACTCTGTGTATAAAACGGCTACCACCATTGTGTATAGGGTCTATAAAAGATGATATCCACTATATTTGGCCTCTGGTTCCTGGTAGATTCCATATTTAGATACCAAGAGCTTGGATGGATAGGTGCTGTTTCTGCCAGTGGCGCCCTCTGTTTTTTGGGAGGCGCTGTTACCGCTGGGGCAGAGTCCCTCCCTGAAACGAATCTATGGCCTCTTCAACAAAACATGCTACCAAGCTCTCGTTTTGTGGAACATCTGTTGGGAAAAGAATCCTCCAACCTAAGGGGATATGGATATGTATTATCTAGGCATGGATGGCGTCTTTGATCGACATCGTATAGATCACGCACTCCACGACGCACTCCACGACACACGCGACGCGCACGTGACGCACGTCACGCACAAGCATCGCGAAGACGTGGGCCCGCCTAGGTACTGTCCAGAAAGCCAGGCCTGAAAGATTGGACGATGTGGGCCGGTGTGTATCCTGTCATTGAGTCATACCCATCAATCACCTGTCGTTCATTCATTCATCCTCTGATATGCAACCATCCTGGGATATTCATCCCACCTGTCATGAACATCCTCTGATATGAAAAAAACATGTCATGAACATCCTGGGAGATTCACTCACCTGTCAACCCCCGCAGGTTCATGGGGGTCTCTGAAATCTGGGAGACCCGAGCCCTCTGAGGGGCTCCAACACCTATATCGAAGAAAGCAGAAGGAGATGGCAAGCATGTTTCAAACTGCTTCAACCACCTTCAGAGTTTAGATTCAAGGCCATGTCATCTCCTTCCATTGAACAGCAGCAGCTGGGACAAGGCTGCTAACACAATCCAGCAGAGGAAGGCGTTCAATAATCTCGCTTCACAAGCTGAGGACATTCGGGTCGTTGTCTCTATCAAAATGTAAACATCGAGAGCATTTTGTTTCAATGGGTCGTCCAAGGGCTTCCAAACACGAGAGAGAGAGAGAGAGAGAAGCGCTCCCCACAAGTTTGGGGGCCGTAGAGCCGTAGACAGCGTGGCCCGTCTCCCTTTTCAGTGCAGGTCCAAAACGGGCGTTCCCTTAATTCATTGGTTTAGAAAGATCATGAATGGTTCGAATCGGCAAATCACAAAGGAAACCAACAACAATGTGTAAATTCCTTTCCCTTAAATGTAGAATCTTGATGAATCTCTCTCCCCATCTGGATTGTACCAAATGGAACCTCTTCGTGTGTGGGAGGGGCTTATTGATCAAGAGTCATACCAATCCTTCTCTGGTCGCTGTTGGAGGGAACCTAGTGTGAGCTTAGAGATCTTCACCTCTTCTCCACATTCTGGTGGTTTGAGACCATACCACGAACATCCAAGAACCTTGCCATTGCAACCCCTTCACATCAAGAACCTTGCGCATGGACCATCCAACCTCATTTTCACCCACATCTTCCCACCTCTCCACCTTCTGCTTCATCTCCCAAAAATTCTGTGTCCCTTCGTCTTTAAACAAGATGGAACCCACGAACCCGAATGCAAACACGATCGAAAAACTAATATGTCCAAAGGACACTCTTGTAGGACACTCTTGCGGGACACTCTGTAGGACACTCTTGTAGCACACTCTTGTGGGTCACTCTTGTAGGAAACTCTTGTGGGACACTCTTGTAGGACACTCTTGTGGGACACTCTTGTGGGACACTCTTGTGGGACACTCTTGTAGGACACTCTTGTGGGACACTCTTGTAGGACACTCTTGTGGGACACTCTTGTGAGACACTCTTGTAGAACACTCTTGTGGGTCACTTGCAGGACACTCTTGTGGGACACTCTTACACGACACTCTTGTAGGACACTCTTGTGGGACATTCTTGTAGGACACTCT